GGCGGAAAGAAGATATGGCCATTTCAGGTTTTTCTCAGAGATGATTAAGTTCCGTCAGAACCACCCAATACTGAAACGGGACAGGTTTCTCAGTAAAGTATGTTCAAATTCTTAGTGTTGTTCTTGCAGTTGACTGGCGTATTGAAAACAAACATTTCTTCCTTTACTGAAATATAGTTATCAGTTTCTGTTGAGTATTTGCTAAGTATGTGATCTCCCTGGTCTCTTATTGTGCATTGCATGTTAGAAACGACAATTCCTAGCTTTTGTAGGATTCAAATATGCAACTCTTGGTTTGATTTTTCTTCCAAAGGTTTTCATTGCATTCTGATCTTTCTTGATTGTAGAATGATGTCACTTGGCACGAGGATTGTTGGGATAACTTGGAAAGCAAATTCTTGGCATTCACGTAAGGAAGTTTGGCTTTCAGTTTTGATCGTGTAATTCATTCTGACCATATGATAGTATTGTTGTAATTTGGTTGCAATGGCCAATGAGTTCTTGTCTTCTCAACTGTTTTGTTTGGCGATTAATGTAGGATACACGACCACAACTCTGGTGGAGATATCTATTTGGCATTCAATGCCCATGACTATTCTGTGGATGCTGTGATTCCCCCAGCCCCTCAACAAAAACACTGGAACCGTGTGGTATGCATACTTTCTGGTCTTGCTAACTTTTTGTAACTCAGTGGTCGTACTGTCTAGTTCCTCCCGTGCTACTACATCTATTGCTTGGACAAATCTACTGATTTTTTTCCACAATGTTTTCCAAGAAAGACAGATTTTTGCAATTTTCTGGAAGCAAGTGGCTTAGTTCTGAACTTGCTATTCCCTCCGATCCATATTAATTGACGCTGCTCTAGTTTAGTGTTTTACTAACTTTGTACTAGAGCAGCGTCAATCAATATGGATCGGAGGGAGTACAAGTTTAATGGATAATTAGCCTGAAACTGCTATTGTGTCCTTGTTGCAGGTGGATACCAACCTGGAATCACCAAACGATATTGCACCGGAAGGGGTGCCACTTACTGGATCAGGGTATAGAATTGCTCCATTCTCTTCCATCTTGCTCAAGGCAAGCCCATAGATTGGAGTAGACAGGCCACAGTCTTAAGGAAGAATGAGAATAATGTCAGTTTCGACTCATTTTGGTGAGTTGTCAGTTGGTTAAAACAGTACGCTGATCTTACTCTCCTAGCCCTGGACAATGCATCTGCTGCAAAGCGTGACAAACTCTTGAGCTGGGAGTCGGGCGCATCTCTGTGAAATCGACCGACGGAAGCTACAGTTGCAACTGGTATATAGAGCTTTGTCTAATAATGGCACACTTTGTTTCCACTGTTCCACATGTAAGTAGACTGAAGTTGCTAGCCATTTAGTTGGGGATAAGAAGTCTCGAGGGAATCTAGTCCATAGCTGTCTGTTCTTTCATTCTTCCTTCGACCTGTGAATGGCTACCAAGCTCTTTGTTCCTATAATAATGTGGCACCGAAATGCCCTCGTTTGCAACTCAATTTGTATTTTTGTGACATTATAACATTCTAGAATAAAGATACGAGGGGTGCATTTGCCTTGAAAGGTCCCATTGCAATATCTTGAGCATGGAGCCATGAGGCATGATTAATGCTAGAAGTTGATGGTAAGTTCTGGTATTTTCATTTCATCAATTCCCTGAACTAAACATACTGCCCCGAGTTCTTGCCTGTAGCCGCCTGTAGCGATTGTGACCACGGAGTGGCGGTGCCATGCTCATCGCGCACTGGACTGACGGTGACGGCGGTTGGCACGCAGGAGATTTCTACATGTGCGGCATGAGAAATGCTACAGCTTCCCCAACAGGGATCGCCGGGCAGGGCTGGGGCCGGCGCTTGAACCGGGCATGTGACGGAGTTCCCATGTCCATCTCACCTGAACGCCCACCAATGTGGCCAGCCAGCTCCTCCCATCACAGCCAGGTAATCCTGAATCATTGGCGACCACCTAACTAACCTCCCATCAAGCTCCAAACACGAGGAAATACAACGAAACGAAGCTAGATGAGCGCCTTTTAGACGAGCGAATCACCGGCGAACTTAGCTGTCCTGTTATATTAGGGGGTCCTGATCTTGGGGCTGTGGGGGCATGCTTTGCAAGCAGCGGCTGTCTTTCTGATTTGGCTCGTGCTATTGTTTTTTTGTGATGGCGGCTGCTTCGCTAGTACTACTAGTACCAACCACCTCTTGATTAACCAACGGGTGGTGGAATTTTGAAATTGCTTGTGAAAAATTCCCAATCATTTTGTCGACGACCCATTCAGTCTATGATTATGTCAAAGCTGGTTTAGGCGCCCACTTTCTTCCGAATATGTGAAGGCCTTCTTCCAACCGACTGCTGAACAGAGTTCTCCCGAACACAGGAATTGGTAGGAAAACTATGCCCACTTTTACCAGATGTAGCATGAGATTTGCTATCCATTTGCCACGAGTCAATGCCTTCGTAAACACTTTGACAAGTGGCCAAGCAAAATGCCTAGCTGCGCACTGATCTTTTATGACATCTACTATGACCTCCGTGGCCCACGCGGCATCTCCGGTATTATACAACTGTGCAGCACTAACATGCTTCGTGGGCGTGCAACAGGGCCATGGGAGACGACACCTCCACGACTTTTTATCACAGTGCCCAGCAGAGTTCGCGGCCGTCACGTAGTCGATTTCATTTCACTCGGAAGGTGGTTATCTTCGCTTAGTTGGTACGTCGGCGTCACGTAGCTCTGTACCACACCGCGGCTGGCTGCGGCTGGCCGACCGGCCGGAATCTTCCACCCTGGCCACAGCTCGTCTCCATGGACCTGACGGGGCTTTGATCGAACCAACGGACTTGTTTTTGGCAAGTTTGCTCTTGTTAAATCGGATCGGCTCAGATGTCATTCGGTGGATAATATTCCGGGCAGGATCAGGATGTTTGTTGGCAACTCACGGCCTAGAACAATGGAAATATGGGTTTGTTTATCATCATCGTTCAGAAGGTCAATAATATTCGTTGGTCGTATACATTTCTAGATACAAAGATTGGTTGGCACATCTCTTTATCTTTTTTATTACATAATAGAAAATGGAGTTAAGGAAGTTAGCGTCTCTACCACACCTCCCTCCAACCTCCTCCGCCGCCGGGGGATGCCATGAGCAAAGGTCTTGCGACGGATGGCGGTGGTAGGGCTCTCGTTGATCTCCCGTCATGGTGGCTGCCCGCTAGAGGATGGCACACGGTGGATTATGGCATGGAAGCCAGGTCGGTGGCACCGATGGGTAGTCGCAGGGGCGTCGAGGGCTGAGTGGCGACCCCTTCATAGCATTTTGGCAGCTCTAGTGTGCTCCTTCGCGGAGCGATAGGGGCACGCTTGTGCGAGGTTCCTTGTCATCGGGCGATACCAAATCTAGAGCGGACATTGACGCGGCCGCCGGGAATGAGTTGGCCTTCATTGGTTGGATCAAGTGATGTTAGATTTTGTGCGCCAAGCCAAAAGACTCGATATTGTCTTTGTCGGCTAGACTTGGTAACGACATTGCTCTCACGTCATCTCCTTGATGGTGTTATTGTCAGTTTCTGGAGGTGATCTCCAGATGAAAACTCGTGTTCTTGCCTTTACTGGCTTGTTCTGGCATCGTTGTCATATACGCGTTGCATTTTTCTTGCCTAGGAAAAAGTCAGCTTTACTTAGGCCGAGTTTGGTATTGTGGTGGTTTATGATAACCTTGTGTTGCCTGATCTGTTTTTGCCTATTTGAGCGTATGTTTGAACCACTTTTGTCTACTTCTGTGGCTAATTTTACATAGTAATTATGAAATCATGATAACACAACACAGTTCAGCAATCACAAATTAACCCATAAAAAGGAGGCACAATGACTCAACTAGCGAACAAGCTTGTTGCCTGTTTGAAATGATTTTCTTATAATTAGATGGTGCCTCCGGTTTAATAAGGAATGGGACATGAGTTTGGACAAAGTTACTACGAAAATCATAAATTACGTTGGTCTTCAAAGGAAGTTTGCAGGGACCATTCACCGTTGGGATTAGTCCATATTTCCATTAGTCCATATTTCCATTGGAACTCTTGCTTCCAGACAGGGGCTTCCTTTTGTCGGTTTGATTCAGAGCTGCCCATCTACCTTCGTAATCACACTCTTCCACATGGTTGTTAGGAACCAGACAAGTGCAATCGTGTGTATCTTCTGTCAAAGAATATGGACGTTGGAGGAGTGGAGCGTTGGTTTTGGAAGGGTTCGGTTTAGGTTGGAAATCTTTGGATTTATCTTATGGAACAAGATGGACATTTTGAGCAGGAAAGGAACGGCACATTAGGTTTGGAAAGTTTTGGCACGTTAGGTATACCCTATGGACCAAATCGAGCAATCTAAACGTGTGGAGCTTTAGGTCTTGGAAAGGGTTTGGTTAGGCTGTACACCATTGTCCTCCCAAGTAAACCTATTTTTCGTAGAGGACCAAGAACTTTATCTCCTTCTAGCGAACATAACAGGCAGGAGACTAAAACTTGCAAACCAAACAATGTGCATGAAGAATACGCGGAAGAGATAGCTTGATAATAGCAATTTCTCTTGTTTTCCCAACCGTCTTTGTTAGTGTGATTCCTTTCTCGTTTCGTTGTGTCGTAAACCCAAAATTTCGATGGAGAAACGCTGATAGCAACCCAATCATCTACCAACGGCTCAATATAGAATTGGTGAGGACAACGTGCGCTCCATTGATCAACACCAAACCAATCATTTCATTCCGAAGGTATTAATTATGTAGGCAACCAATGTTAGCTGGTTGATGCTATCATCAAATGATCAAAACAAGGAGCTCTATTTTATGTCTATTTTCCTAGAAAGACGTTCTTCTTATAAGTGCCCCACGACGTGCGCGTGCACACATATTGACAACACAATGTACAGCCTCTTGCTAGTTTTGTAAGTTTTATTTACAGAGCAAAAAAATAAATATGATGTATATCAGGCAACGCCATACATCACGAAATGACGAGACAATGAGGGTAATTGATCTTTCGGTGAGAAAGATGACGACGTTTGATGATTTGACACTCACATATTAGGTCTGATCGTACAGGGTGAACTACACACGTAAATCGGTAAACCATCTTGGAATGAGTCGTCACATTCGGTCGATGGTTATTTTCTCCACCCTTACCTCAACTAAGCATTACAAAGTCACAAGTGTTCACTTTCACAGGTTGATGGGCTGAACCTACCCTCAAAAAGAAAAGAAAAAAAATCTCCAAAATTTTAAGGTTCTGAGTGCGTGTGTGCGTGTCTACATGTGTGTTGTAGCTGCATAAAGGAGCACCTTGACCTTGGAAACAACCTTGCTGTTCAAAATGGACCTCCATTATCCTTGTAAAGAAAACTCGATGCACAAACATCGCAGTCGTGTGAGCCAATCCGCTCATTAGCAAATACAGTACTTCTTGATATTTCATGTTTGCGCGTGCGTGCCTGCGTGTGCATCACCCACGTAATTGCGAGAAAAAGCGCTTTGACTTTGCAAGTAACTTTGTTTTTGAAATCTGACTTTCTATTATCTTGTAAAGAAAAATTCGATGCAATAACTCCGCAAACGCGTGGGCCAATCGGCTCATTAGCAAATACCACTTGCAATTTCACACAACCCTAAAAAAACTTGCTATTTCACATTTACGCGTGACCTTGACTTTGGAAGTAACATTGTTTTGAAATCTGACAATTTATTATTATCGCGGTAATGTAAAAAACGCCGCAAAGCGTGGGCCAATTGGCTCATTAGGCTGGTCATAGTGGGAGTAACATAGGTAGTAACTTAGATGCCACATAAGCAAAAATGATGAGGTGGCAAGTAGTTAATGAGGAGAGAGGCAAATAGAGTAACATAATACGTTACCATCACATAGCGTTTTCCAATGCAAAATGAGTCTACAAAGTAATAAATGAAGACATCTATGTTACCACATATATGATACTACCCACTATGAAGGTACATAGACTAGTAACATGCATATGTTCAGTGGCGGAGCTTGAAAGAAATCTTTGGAGGGGCGAAGCTGTAAAAAAAAATACGAAATCATACGTATTCAACAAGTTAGATGTTGCAAATATCAAGTAACTTAGATAATTATATTGATCTTCTCCAGATTAGCTTACAAAATACATTTCTAATCAGTAGAGAATTCGGTTCACTACAAAGTGCTATTTAACCGTGGAACATTCAGTTTACTATTGACCAGCTCCAGAACAAAAGAAACTATACCCAAAATACTATTTAACCATGGAGCATCCAGTTCACTACAGATCAGCCCTTCGTTTCTTTACACCCTTAAAGTGCA